GACGCCCCATTCAGATCCCGTGTTCTTCACCATCCAATTCGGCCGGCGCGAACGAGGTGCAGGAGGAGAACGGCCGTTGTTTGGTCCATTGCCGCAAGGGCGCCAGTCGCTCGGTCCCGGGCCACAGACTTCGCGAGGTCTTGGCGCCGGTGGTCGTGGCGGTGGAGAGTTTAGGGACCGGTACGGCCGCAGGAAGCAGGGCCAGAGCAGTTGCAAGATGGCGAAGAGTGGTTATGAAGATGAAGTAGAAAAAGAACATGCATGTTGGTATGTCCTACAGGTAGCTTGTAAGCCTGCCATATATCAGAGCCTTTTGAATAGTTTCCTGATATCCATGTTGGCATCCTTAAGTCCTTAAAGCCCAAAACACTCGGCTGTCTCAGCTCAAGGCTTCTTGGAACAGCTCATTCCCCTCCAGGATCTCATTGCCCTTTCGACCTTTTGGTCGGGGAATTCATCCATCCGTTACTTCATTGGTGTCCCGGACCTCGAAGGCATGCCGTATCCCAGACACGATTATAATGGGACTGGCATAGTGACTGGGTGGTTGAAAGGAGGTCAATGTAGGTAAATATGCCAGTCCCATCAGTCGTGTTTGGCTATCATGCCCACGTCTGTATCTTTTTTGTAGCAACGTTTTGCACGTGGTGTTCCTCATTTGTCCTCCATGTTTTTGTCCTTATGTCTCTATCTCTCGTCTCGCACACCCTCAGGTGGCCATCGTTCTGGCATACCTGGTGCTGCGGCTTCGCACCGAGCTCAGACCGTCGTCGCCTCCTGGGTTCGGCAGCCGCTGAAGATGGACGCTTGACACATTGAATCAGACAATGTTTGACTAGAGTAACGACTATACCCGTTAGGGCTCCTGGCCCACCTCCGTTTTCGGTTCGATGAGTGCTTGGGATGGGTGGATGCCGGGGTCGAATACCACCGGTCACCGGGTCGGAGATGGGCCAGGAGCCTACACCGCGATAGAAAAGACCTGAGACTGTTTTCCGTTCTTTTCAACACCCACGGTCACTGTTTTGGTCAAAAATTCGCCCAAACGGTCCACCCGTAGCAACCGCAGCCGTTGTTTTTTTTGCAAACAAACAGAGCCTGGCGACTTGACGCCGTCCCTCGGTGTCCCATGTCCCGCTTGGCGCGCGGTCGGCCACCGAAGGTTTGAAGCAACTCAGAGAACTGAGTGTGAAAGCACTTGTGGCAAACTCTTGCGCCGGAAGAAGTTCCGAATGTTGGTTTCGATACGTCTCCATCGTACTCCAACTCAAGAGGATATGTTCTCCCGATATTTGCAGGATCCTTCTTTATGAGCTTGGCGTGGGGGGATCATGTGACAGTCGGCAGTCAGCGCCCTGTCGTCAATCCACAGTCGTCACCGAGAGTTTGTGGTTCAGCCGATGCGGTCTGCTGGTTTGCCCTCGGCGTGTTTCTTCGGTTTGAAGCAATTTGAACGAGCATGGCCTGCTCGAACAAGCTGCTCAAACGACCCTTTTGGCAGATTTATCCAGGAAGGATCTAGCCTTCCTTTGCACCAGTACAAGAAGTCGGTTGATTTGGTGTGAAAACGTCTAAACATCATGGTGTATAAAATCCGAGTCAAATAAGGATCGTTCGGTGAAACCCTTAAGACAAATACTGGTAGCAAGTCCAGGGCTTAGCTGTTTCGGAAGTATGAGGATTCACCCCCCCAAGGAGTAAAATCTGGCGGTTGCAGTGCTCCGCTTCAAGGGCAATGTAGACTGTTGAACCAATTCGCGAAGGATGAATGATGTCATACTAAAATATGTAAAATCATTGCAGGCCTTTGAGCCAAATCCAACCGTCTACATGTGTCTACAATATGTCTACATGATCGTTTTACACAGTCTACATGGAGGTTCAGCCTTGCACGACGAAGAACTGTGCCACGTGCCACCTGTTGGTCGTTTTGTGGTGCCTCTCAGGTTATCGTCTCAGGGATGCCTGGCGGCTGGTTCATTCCAAACGTCCCGCCCGGAAGCTCTAAGGGGTTGAAAGGAGCTGAGGGAAGGACTCTGATGATAGGACTCAACCTCAACGGTCCACCGTTTGAAGTGTATGTTTTGGTTCATACGGATCGTCTAACATGACGGAAAACATGCGAAGATCTTAGCGGAGTGTTCATACGGATGGGGCTGGCTTTTCTTAAGCCCAGCTGTCGGCAGTGAACTACAGTATGTACTTGCAACCCATTTGACCATGGGTGACCCGGGAGGTCAACTTACCAGGGAGCTCCAGTTTTTGACCTGATTTGATGGATAATTCTGGCCCTCCAAGGTTGCACAAAGATCAAAGTTTGACTGGAAGACAACCGGGTTCCAAACTGGTTTTAGATGTTTTTAGTATAATATGTTCACGAACTTAGGGGACTCCTTTCCTGGGAGCCTGCCTATTTCAAGGTACGTTAACATACACTAAGAAACTATGCTATGCATCTACTCTGCAGGTCAGTTTGACCTCGTACTGAACTTGATCACAAAAAACAACACAATGAACTAAGAGACTAGCTCCATCAGCTTTTCAGCACCAGTATTTCACTGGGTCAGACCTAGGACTCCACCTATGAGAAGGTGCTTTTCGAACCCCCCGCGGTCCCACCCACGGCCCCCACCTGCTGGTCTCCGGCCCAAGGCCCGGAGCGTCGAGAGCGTGAGGTTCGCGGCGGCTCGGACGGTCTCCCAGGTGGCACGGCCAAATCGAGGATATTGCCGCCAGCTTTGTGATTTTGAAGAAGATTCTCTAGGCACGTGCGGCGCGCTGGCGCGGATGCGGATGGGGATGGGGATGGAGTAGATGGGTGGGTTTAGTGAGTACAGTGAGTGAGAAGTGGCGAAAGTTCGTTTCTTTTTTCTTTCGGGGATTTTGACTGACATGTGGGGCGTTCTTTCTTTTTCTGACATGGGCAGGAAGACAAGTCTTCTCGGAAGGTGTGGGAAAATAGGAGGTTCCTCCACTCAGGGTTTCCTCATTTGGGGACTGTAACATTGTGATGATCATTGATCATGCATGTTTTTGCATAAAAAGAAGGTGCATCCATCAAAAGGTGCTCGAAAACGGATCCACTGAGTGGATGCGCCACCTTTGCTTTTCCAAAAGAGACGATCTACCAGAACCGTGCTCCTGGCCCACATCCTCACAAGGTGAGCCAGGGGTGCTAAGGGGGGGGTCTAACCACCGAACCTGAGGATATGAGTTGGAGCCCCGGGGAATATACACTCTACAGGTCGTGTTTGACCCAGTAAAACGTGGCTCTTCAGGCCTAGTAACTGCATCGCTACTAGTAGCATTCTGGAAAACTAGTAGCGATGGCCTCCAACCTACTTGCGAAGGCCTCCACCGAGCATAGCGTCCTTGTTATATAGTAGTTAAAACCTGGTTGAAACCCTAGGGTACCACAACTCTGTGCTCCGCGGCCGTCTTCTCGGCCGTCTTGACTCCTCCGTTCTGCCAGGCGAGGCAAGCATGACGCCGAAGGATTTTCATGCGAGCTGCGATGACTAACTGACCGGGGCGTAAAAAAAATCCGTTTGGCTGGACATGAGAAAACGAACTGTTGGGCGTGTGTGGTGTTCTTTACGAACCCCTAGGATTCCAACCACCAGTTTACTGAACCACCAATTGTTTTATGCATTTTACACTACAAAACGACCAGGTCAACCATTAGTTTGATGATCTTGGAAGCCCAGCGGAACTGTTAGGATGGTCGTGCAGGACGCATCCCGTTTCACCACATTTCACCACTGCGTTTCACTTTGTGTCACCGTTTCACTGACCAGGCCACACAGAGGCATGCGAAAGGGAGCATTTTCCGTTCTTTTGAAAAGAAACATATTATATACCTAGCGCTTCCTGTCTGGGTGTCCAATGGTGACCTATAAGCAGTGTAGGGTTGTCCATTCATAACCCCTTGGAAGCAGCTGGTATATACTTGCCATTACTTGTCCCATAGGCTCCAGGACTCCAGGTACCTCCAGAGAAAGGTCTTTGGAGCGGGAGTATTTGGACCCTTAGGCTTGTCATCGCTGAAGCACCGGGTCCGCCCTGGTGCTTCGCCCTCACTCGTTTCGGTCACGTTTTCTGAAGGTGTCCAACCTTTCTGCAGCGGAACTTCAGTCAGGAATAGCTCCGGGTTCAGACATGCTCGTTCGGGCCACCGTCGAACATCTGAAGAGGGCCTGTCGTCAGCCACTCTCCCAGAGCTGGTCGCCCTTGGTCCATCGGAATCGTTTGCCGGAGTCGTTGGTCATGTTTTGCGGATGTTTCCCCGAAGTAAATCACTTGGTATACCGTGATGTGCAAAAGAAGTTAATCCACTTGCGAATGTAGGATGGCAACGCAGACCACATATAGCATCAACCTGACGGCTGTGTTTGTTATGCGCGTAAGCACGATCAAGGAACCCATGGTGGTTTCTGTCAAGATAAGCACTAAATCCTCCCGTGGGTCCTCCCTTAAAGCTACTCGATCATGACCCTTCCAAGAAAATCCACAGACTGTCACGAACCTTGCCTCACCGTCGTTTTGCCCAAGCACGGAGATACGTCCAAAAGTAGACGTGGAAGATGGGGCATCAGTCAAAAGCATCATCATATGGATCTGGGAAGAGACAAGGTGCAGCCATGAAAACTAACCAGACATGACAAAACCTCCCAATCGCCTCTCCGTTGTTTTTTCCACATGGCAAGATACACAAGCACGGTGGACTCACTTGGTTAGCCTCCTCAGCCCTCAGACTCGGGCTGGAGCCCCAGCGACGTTCCACTCCCCAAGAGAGGTTAAGTGACCTGAAATAGGACCCGTCACCTGGGTTGGCCAACTGGGCGCCCGTCGAAGGGTCGAGTTGTTCGACCTCTGTTGTATATCTCCACCTTTGTCGCCCAAACACGCTCAACAGGACTGTCCACTTCATTAGGATCCCCTTCTTGCGTAGGCGAGACGCAAGGGACAGCAGCCCAGTGGCCAGAGCAGTGTCATCGGCCATGTCCACCTTGAGTCTCCCGGAGGAGGAGCCACCAGTACCACAGGTCGGAGGGATCTGGACCGGGGTTGGAAGGGGGTTTAGAGGAAATTGAAGTAATCTTTAAGTTGTGTTATGAATGTTTGAATATTGGGTTTTAGATGGTTTTAGTCGACATGTGCACAAAACAACCAGTGAATACATGGATCTAGACTCAAGAAATCAAGCTTATCTAGTTACCAAGCTCTGAGGGTTGCTGGACCATTCGCAACGTTGTTCCTCACCTATCAGGTCAGGGTTACTAGATTTTAGATCCTTTGTCATTGTCTATGTCTCCTCGCCTTGCAGTTCCTCAACTGCCAGCTCCAGATCGCAGAGGGCACTCCCGGACGTCCATGCAAGCGGCAGATCGCAGTGGCCATGACCGGACCGCAACAGCAAGCGGCAGATCGCAGTGGATATGACCGGACCGCAACAGCAAGCGCCAGATCGCAGTGGCCACGACCGGACCGCAACAGCAAGCGCCAGATCGCAGTGGCCACGACCGGGCCTCAACTGGAAGTGCTGGATCGCAGCGGGCACTGCCAGACCTCAACCGCAAGTGCTCGATCGTAGTGGGCATCGTCGGACCTCGCCAGATATATGTGATGCCACAACAGACAGAATGCCAGCGTTCATGCCGGGTAGTATGCCAGAATTTATGCTAGATAGAGTGCCAGGCCAGCCACCACGCCAGATAGAATCCCAGAATACTCAGATAGGCTGCCAGTATATGCCAGATAGAATTCAGAGTATATGTCAGATAGAGTACCAGAGTTATGCCAGATACACTGCCAAAATGTATGCCAGAACACGCGCCAACAAGGACGTCAGAACACAGCCCAGAACATCTCCCAGCTTTTATGATAGATGATGTGTCGCCTTTGTCAGGCCCGTCTGTCGATACATGTGCCCTGCCTTCCAGATCGCCTTTTCAGGGTGGCAATCGCTCGAAGTAGAGTATTTGTCCGGCTTTCTCCACTTCCTGCCTTTCCGGATCAGCAGGCAGTGAGCTCGGCGCCCACACCCGGCTCACCAACGTCACCGGTGCCTTTCACAGAGGTCCTGGACGAGATGCAGGTGACGTGCGTTGTTGGCGGACCGGACAAGTGTTGGGCGGGAGTGAAGCAGAGGGAAAGACGCACAGAAAACGACTGAATTCACGAGGAGGATTGAGGAGGGAGGTTCTGTGAGGTGTAAAGATTGTAAAGGTGCAAAGTTCAACTCTGCATTGAAAGAACATTGAGCGGGTCAGTATATAGTATATTTGCAGTAGTTTATGGCCCATATGTGTCCATATCGTTTGGCACCATTTACTTGTGCATAGTTATCTCGTATATTTGCAATGCGTTTATGTTCAATTGAGTAAGTGTCCCAAAACATGGTTGGCACCTCATCTCGTTGCAAAAAACTGTTTCAAAACCATGTCATGGTCTCCACATATCATGAAAACATTTCCCAAAATGTCGGACTGAACCTTCCTTGTCCGGGCTCACGAAAACACATTTTTTCAATTTTTTTGTTCAGTCCTTTTCTGTTTGCAGGTCCTGACTGTGCTCTTCTTCCCTCCAGGCGCTTCACCAACGCCTCCTGGAAGCTCATCATCATGAGCTCGCGCGCGCCTCCACCGCCGGCTCCCCAACGGACCGCTCCGGTGCGGCCCCGGCGGCGCCCGCGGCCGTGCCAACGTCGCCAAGCTTGGCTCCGTCGGCCAGCGCGCTGAGCGTCTCGCACAGCGCGTCGTGCCTCGCGCCAAGCAGACGAGGGGGGGAGGTCGTCCACGGGCGCACCGTTTGGAGGGGGATTGGTGCCGGTGGTGGGGCGGGTGGTTTCTTTGTGTTTTTTATCGGGGGAGTTGACAAGAGGGTTGAATAATGTGGACTGGCCTCCACGCGACATCTCAACAAAAACCACATGAAAGGGTGGGCTGGCAACCGAGCCTGGGTTGTCGATATGGCGCCAGGATACCTGGGTTGACCTAGCTGGGAGGTCGCTCGCTACAGAGTGGACGGGTTGGGCGAACGTCGGTGGCATGACCCATCTTCACATCTTTGATTTGGTCGTTGCTCAATCTCGGTCAGAACTATCCCAGGCCATGCGGCCTGGGGTGGGTCGGGTGCGTAGATGTTATACTGGTTCATCATAGGGTAGTCAGAGGTCTCAGAATACCCTCCACCTCACCACTAGCTCAGAGCGGCCCACTTTGTTCCTTTGTTTCACCATTTTAGCCTCCAGTCAAAAGATGTTAATACTCGTAGGTCTTAATAGCACTTCCATGAACTCAATCAGCTTGATAGGCCTTCAGAAGATATCTAAGAGGCGGGCACTGGTGACACAGAATACCTGTCAAAGGTTTGATCGAAACAAAGCCAGTCAACGAGCGAAGCATGTAACGTGACAGTTCATTCTCATGCGTCGCACCTGTTTGAGTCCGCATTGACGTCATAATCCTCAGGAAGAAACACGTCAATTCCAAGAAATCGGTGATCCTCAACCTCCCAGCAGCAGCGGCTGAAAATGTGACCCATGTTCCTTGGCAAAAGCATGCCTCCAGAGGGACAAAACTGATTCAAATCATTCTTAACCAGTGCCGTGTCTTTCTCGGAAGTTACCACCAGCTTTGTGCCCCAACACGGAACATACACTTCCTAGCGTGTCAGCAAGGCCAGCTGGAGCCTATCAGATCAGGCAAACCAAAGAAAAGGTAAGACCAGGAGTAACCAACAGAGGTTAAGTGACCTTCTAGGACCTTACTGGGGGTACCTATTGGGATAGTCTATGGACCTTGGAATCTAAAACCACACTTACACTCCTTGGAATCATAGAAGTGGATGTCATGTCCCCTTGGATGACCTTTTTGTCCTCCACAAACAGGTGGCTGCCATGAAACTCGGGGAGGGCAAACACGTGAACACAGATTCTCAGCATTGGTCCATCCTTCACGCAGCTGGGCTGTGCAGTCTTTGGATGCGACTGCGGTCGTTCCAGAAGCTGGGGGGCCATATAGATGGACTTCCGTGGAATTCCTATGAGATACAGAGACCTTGCCAAGTTGCATTTTGGGCTTCAGAAAAGAAGACACAGATCCACCGGAAGTCGAGAACAACTGGGAAGCGGTTCGGCCCAAAAATCTGCCCCCCTGGAGGTCTCAGTCTGGCTTCTCATTCTTGATCCTGAAACTCAGACTGAGACTGATCAATTGGCTTGAGTCCTCAAAACAGACACTCCACGGGACTGTAGTCGCAGAACATCTCGGGCTGCGGGGATCCATGTCATCCAATATAATGTCAAGAAATCATCCCCAGATGGCTCGTGATGGGGGAAGTGCTGCCCTTTTCTTTCAGGAGAAGTCGGAGAAGTCCGTTTCCATCGCGCTGGGCCCCGCGGGAGACTCTGCCTCGCCGCGCAGCGTGGAGAGCCACGTGGAGAGCCGCGTGCGCAGCGTGCAGAGCGGCCTGAGCGAGGAGAGCTTGTCTCCGCGTTCCACGCGAGCAGCGAGGCCAAAAGGGGACGATGGGAAGGAGAATAACAAGAAGCTACTAGTAGCTTTTTGTTACTAGTAGGAATGCCCTTGTTACTAGTAGTGATACCATGTGATACTAATTATGTACGTAAGCCGGAGTTTGCTTGATATGTGTTCATCACCAAGGGTCGGGTGCGGATACAATGTGAGAGCGGATCAGCGTCCGTCAACGTTTCGCAGGTCTTTTTTCCGAGTCCCGCCCAACAAAAGACCGATATCCCGACACTCCATGGGACTGGAACTGGCCGCTGGTTAAGCTATGTGAACTATGTGGTCTTATTTTTGGTAGTTGGTTGGTTGATTTTAAGGTCAGGGACAACTTCCTGGAATATACTGTATAGTTACATACACATTGAACCCCAGGAAGATGACCCGTGTAGGTCCCCATGGAAGGTTTGGGGATGACCTCCAATCTTGGTGGTTTGGGTGTCGCTGCTGGAGCCCATATCAGGCCTGGTGGTCTTGGACTCTTTCCAGATCCAGACCATCACGGAGTGAACCATGACCTAGAATATACCATAATATACCTATCATCAGATTCATTTGACATAAGAATTTCAGATGCGTTGTTTGCGGTTGCATGCAGAAATGGTGCCAAAATGAAAACTGCCAAGAATTGACGATGAATCTCCAGGTAATGTAGAATCTTGATTCATAAACCCCCCCAGACATGGAATGGTGTCTGTATGGAGTTGTTTTGCCGTTCACTGTCCTGGAGCGAGGTCTTAATCTTCAAACGGTCTGAAGTGGAAAAACACTCCCTTGAATCATGAAGTGCATGGAAGTGCATGGAAGTGGATGGCATGGCCTCGACTTTGAGGAAAACCATGAAATCCAAAGACCAAACAGGTGGTGAACTCCACTTTCATGAACATTCCAGGGACTATAAATAGAATGGCATCCAAAGAATCCTGTGTTCACTGGGTGAACTCCGCAAACATTTGAGGTCTCGAGTAGGTTGATGAAGCAGGCCAGTGCCTTGGCATGTCTTGGCGTTTTGACTTCAGGCTCATGGTTTGCATGCTTTTTTCAGTTGCCCTGGACCGAACTTGTTAATTGGGGCTCTCAGCTAGCGTGGTTGTCGTCGCGTCGGGTGGTGTTCTTCCGCACCAGTCGTTGTCGCAGTGGTGTAAGCCGAGTATGATCCTCAGTGCGGACGAGGGCGAACCCAGGTCCGACCCCAGGTCCAACCCCAGGTCCGACCCAGTGACACCGTACAGGCATCCTTGACCTTTATCGAATCGTGTGTTTTTGTATCATACTGATTCGGTCAAATGCAGGTCCAAAATGACCGGGCCGGAATCGAATCTTGTTTTGTATCATCTTCAGTATTTGTCCGGTCCAACTGACAACCCCCCTGTCGGACGGAGCCAGTCTCCGGGTGTACGGAAGCTCGCCAGGCGCTCAAGCCGTTCGCCGTGCGTCGGATCTGATCTCCGTCACCGCTGGAGTGGAGGTCGGCTCTGGCGGCACCGTAGAGTAGCAAAAGGAGCCCGAAAGTAGCGATGGCCTCCGAGTCTTGATCTCAATCAAAGTTCTTAAGAGTTTAAAGGTCAGTGTTCTTTTTTCAGGAAGCCCAAGGCCGGAGTCTGCTCACCTGGTGTACTTGATCTTAATGGGTGACCTGCTATATTCAACAACTTGGACGGTTCGCTCATAGAATGACCTCCGTTTTGGACTGGTCTCCGTCTCCGTCACGCGCCCGGAAGCACCGGGCGCGCCGTTCTCGGAGCACCGAGGGGAAGTGGCGGTGAACATCGAGCACCAAGTCGATGAGGACCGCGCGGAGCCGGAAGGTGGAAGGTGCGAGGTGCGTTGAGGTCCCGGGAGTGCGGGGTGAGGGGGCATTGACACGTGCCCTGCCTTTTTGTAGTGGAGTCCGTGGAGGAATCAGCTGATGAGAGATACAGGTTGTGGTACTTCTGAAGGGGAGAGAGAAGTTTCAATCCTGTGACCTTGTGCAGAGTATTGATCGCACCACCGGGAAAGCACTACATTCACTACATTATATGCATTAAGTCTGCTCCAGCACTCCAGGCATGCGATCTCACCGGTGTTGGATCGTTACGTGTGAAGCACGTGTGCCTTATTGAACTATGACCTTGTCAGCAGAGTGTTGTCAGCTATCTGTGTTCGTTTCATGAGGATGTGTCCACCGAAAACATGTTGTTTCCCTCACGTGAGATTAAAGGTTTGCAGAGGACCACATGGAACCCCAATGGCCCACTGGGTTGGTATTCGGAAAGTGGTCGAAACCACGGGTCAATTCTCAGGTTCCATGTTAGTTTGTGGCGGGGTACTCATTCCAGGTCACAGAGGATTGAGATGGCACAGACCCCAAGTTTGGTGGTTGATATGCAATCCCATCTAAAAGAAACCACTGTATACTAGTTTTGCTGCTTTTAAGCTTTGTGTGGCGTTGTCTCTCGGTTTCTTTTGCGCTGAATGGAAGATGCAGGACTCGCTCCACGGCGCGCTGCGGCTCCGAGACGAATGGGCCATGTCAGACACTGGAACCGCAGAGATATGTCATGTATTTTTATGAAGGTGATGTTTAATGTTCCCTATAATATTGGCATTATGGGTCAATCCCCTTTGGGAAGATCTGGTTGATTTTCTGTCCAGCTCCTGGAGTTACAAATTCCAAGATAAATCAAGATAATACCATCTAGTAGAGCTCCGGTTGACCTTTGTTTTGATAGGACGTTTGACCAAAATAACAGGTGGTTGGTCTAAAATAGAGGGAAACCAACAAAGGCACCAGGTACAAAAGAAAAAACACATATTCTAATATCTGGGATGTTCTTTTTTAACATGTCAGAGTGGCTTTGGTCATGTTTTGGACCAGGTGGATGTTGCGCATGTTCGGACGCGGGTGGATGTTGCGATCTCGCAGTTTGACATCAAACATTGAAGCATGTATAGCTTGTTGGTTCAGGATGTATAGCTTGTTTGTTCAGGGATCTTTGTATGGCGAAAAAAGGGCGAAATCTCCAAATGTTCCAATGGAACTGGCTTGGCTTTTATAAGCCTGTATTTCAAAACGTGAGCCGTTGGCCTCGTTAAGGTGAGCTTTGGAACTGGACCTGGACCGTCGCCTGGACCTGCGAGCTTTAGAGAAAAAACCTAGGGGGGGTTCTCCAAGACTGGTGGGTTCCAAAGCCTCAAAAGATATACTTTCAATGTGGACTCCCCATGACTTCAATCCATCATTCATCCCAAACCGATCCTCCGAAAGAGCTGGTTCACTTAAAGACAGAGTCTTCGGTTTCAAAGCACGGTCACCATTGGTTTGATGGTCTTTACCGAAAATACCATATTGGTTTACTAAGGATTTTTACATGATAAAAGCCAGGTCTTTGAAGGCTTAAGGGTTTTTGGTCGAATTTTTTTTGGGACCGCCGCTCGAGCGGAGGACCTACTGAGCAAGGCTCCGATGCTCGGTCGTCTAAGGAAGAGAAGCTCAAGGAGCTGAAGCGCATCCAGCGCAGGAGCACCGGACGGTGGTTCCTGAACAGTTCCCCGAGTTGGAGGATCCCTAGGGCTCACCCCACATCAGGAGAAGGTGGTTGGTTGGGGTACCATGGCGGGTCTAACCAGCGAACCTGAGGATATGGTTGGAGTCCGAGTCCGGAGATGGGAAAAACCGTGCACGGAAGGAGAGGTGACGCATATGTTTTCAGCCTCAAGGCATCCGCAGCTTCCTTGCACGAGGGTACGATGGAATGACGGGACCCGTTTCACGAAGCCCTGGGGCTTCGCCGCTTCGCCCTGCAGTGATCGCTTCGCCGAGCACAGCCTCTCAGAGGGTCCCAGTGGATCAGGTGGCAGTGGAAAAGGGAAGAAGCTGGCTGCAGTGACGTGATCGATTCACCCTCACATGTCCGGACGGCATCGGTGACCCAGAATCCGCAGCTGAGCATCCGCCGGCGTTTGGGCGCTCTTCAGCGTTTGGGCGGTGTTGCTCCACGGTTTGCTTTACGGTCCTTGGAGGGGTCCGGAGTCGACGAATGGCACTCCAGACATGGTTACCCCTAGGGCCTAGGGCTCCAGTCATACCTTCGTCAGAAGGTAGGACTGGACCTTCTAAACCCTCCCCAGTCCCACCTTCTAAGAAGGTACGACTGGAGCCCTAGGGTACATGGATTGTTGGGATTGGAATAAGTCCACTCATGGGCGCTTCGTGCAAAGAAGGAGTCCCATGGTGTTGGGCGCCTCTGTGAACAAGAAACACACATGTCGGTCGCTTGAAAACCATCCTCCCGATGAAGTAGATCCCCAAAAATGGATCTCCATCCTTGTTTTTTGCTGATAGGATGATTTTTCTTATCCCATCATATCCCAGGCTGCCAGGCTTGGGCGAATCCCCTGAAACTGGGGAAGATCGAACAAACAGATCTTTGATGCTTTCCCGATTCGACCGCCAAGTCATCGGTCTTCATCGCTTCCACCTCCCCATCTTCCTCCTTCGGATTTCGTCCGTCCTCGGCGCCAGGATGTCCATTGGAAGCCGTCGAAGCCTGAAGTCAGCGGTCAAGAGGCGACGGACGACGAAGACGACGACGAGGGGGGCAGGTCCCATGGAAAAAAAGAAAAGAACGATCCGAAAAGGGCAGGAGGAGTGACCGGTGGTTTTGTGGGCAACAGGTGGTTTTAAGGATGTTTTCACGGTGAGGTGCATGTGTTGTTTTCCACCACCCGAGCTGTGTGACACCCAGAGACTGGGGAAGACGAGGGTAGTCAGACCCGACGTTTGTCCCGGCTCGACAGCATTTTGGTCACAGAAGGGGTTGTGACAAGATGTAAAGACATCTGAACAAGCTACTATACATGAGGAGTTGATGCTTTAGGCCGGTAGTTTGCTCCCTCTATCACTCTACACAAGCGGGAGACGTCGCCACGGTGGCACTATCCACAGGCATAGAGGGGCGGGGCATAGAGGGCAGTGTTGTTTCGCATTGATTGGCAATGGCCTGCACCCTTATAGCAATGGCCTCCAACATACTACCACAGCGATGGCCTCCACCCTAATTTAGTGGTTTCAGAGCTTGTTTTTGGACTCAGCGACCTGGCCTTGCTTGCGCTCAAGGATCCAAGTGCATTTCTGAGGCTGGAACGAGCCTACCCGGTCAGTGGATCATCTTTCACCTTTTTGGGGGGGGGGGCATTGGTTTTTCTCAGTTAAGCAGAACCGGGTTTTCCAGAAAACTCGGCAGATCGTCGCTGATCCAAAACCAACCACCGCCCACCGGACATTTCTTCGTCGGATGTTTCAGCTCTGGATGATCAGCGGTTTCTTTGATGGTTTCTTTGGGGGATTTGTCACGGTTCTTGTTGATCACCGTCTTTAACAGCTTGGGGGATTTGTCACGATGTTTTCAGCAGGATTGGTCACGGTCCGTCTGACGTGTTCTTTTGGATCGCGAAGAAGACGTCGTGGCTTCCACGTCGAGGTGTTCGTTTCGGTCGACGGTACCGGTGCTGGCTCGGAGCGACGGGACGGGAGCAGCTGGGTTTCGGCAGGCAATACTTGGTGCGGACCGAACGTGAAGATGTGCCCTGCTACGTTCTGTGCCCCAATTCTTGGCGACGAATCTGTTGGGACTTCTTGACCTGCATCTTCATCCTCTTCGAGCTGCTCAACAGCACGTGGTTGCCGTCTCTGCCAAGCGAGGGACACCTGAGAGGTTTGTCTCAGGGTCTCTCTATTTGGACATAGACGGTATAAGGCTCATGGAAACGCATGGAAAGGCCCTAGAGGCCGTAGTTCTTCGGTGTTTAGGGCATGTCTCAAGCTCCAGTCCCCGGAGCGCGCTTTTAGGAACCAAAACATCGACTGGAATTTGGGTTCATTCAAGCCACTGAGGAAACATGCAAGATGACATGCCAGCATGTGGCGTGTTAAGACCAAACACTGCACTGTCGCCTTCTGGCATATCTCGTTTGTACATCAATATATGTGATGTTACAATGTGTTGCGAAGTTTGTCTTCTTTTTCCATAGCTTTTGATCTTCCAGTCAAAACCTCTTCTGCCCAGTTAGTTGCCTTTCTACCAGGAAGCTCAGCCGGCCTCGTATCTGGATGGAAACACAGGGGCCCAAGGACCCAAACATGTCCCGCACGGGAGTGCGTATGCGGCAATGCGCATCGCATGGAAGTCCCATGGTACCCAGTACTGCATGGCCAGCCACACCAAGTTAAAAGACCACCAACAGATGCTAAGCTTATTGCACTAGGATGCACAGACACTCTATTGACCAGGACACCTGTGAAGTACAAGGAAACCAAATGCAACACAAACACAGCTAGCACACAGCAGGAAACACTGCTGCATTTTTGGGGGTGTCCATCGTCCCCTCAAAATGGACCTTGTTTTCATCTTGTTTCCCGTTCTCCTTCGTGTCAGTCGTTGGAGCGAGCTGCAGAGGATCTCCATTTCACCCTTGCAGCTCTACCGGATGGGCGAGCTCTTGCGGAACACCACAGATCTCCTGCAGTGGATGCTTTTTCAAGCAATGCTTTGGTATCCACCGGTTTTCGGCGTGCAGTACCGATGGCGCAGGGACGGGAATCTGACATGGGAGATGTGCCCCAACAAAAACGACCGGTTTGAAGATGTTTTCCCTCTCCATTCTCATGTTTGGGAAGACAGACAACGACCTGTGTCACCGGTGCTTCAGTCCGCTTCGGGAACAAGGTCTGGCTCGGTTTGGCCAAAGCACATCCGACGTCCAACGAGACTTCATCCAGCCTAGGAATTCGGGAACGACCTACTACCAGTAGCAGCTGCTAGCTAGTATACGAGCATACTAGTAGCTTCTTGTTCGGAGGTAATGCCCTTGTGACATCTTGTGACTAGGAAGAACATGCCCTTGACTGATAGGTTCCCCAGCGCTGCGCAGGGACCCGTTTCACTCACTTTGGAGCGACCAGGGGAGTGCCCCCAAGCCCGACAGCTCAAGCTGGTGCTTGCTGAGGTTTCGCTGGCACCCTGCGTGTTGCGTCGTGAATGTCGTATTGCCGGCGAAGGAAGACTGCACATGACTGTTTTGAGGACTAAATGATAGGATCATTCATGATCATTGTATTGATTGTTAGCTTTTTTGACAAAACTAAGGTTCTCCCCACTTTTTTCAGAATTGGCAGCACGAAAATCAGCGGTTGGGAAGTGGGAAGTGATAAACACATGGCTGAGGATTTCCACTAGCTTTTGGCTCTTGGACATTGTGGTGTCCTTCTTTTCGGCTGTCTACCTGAATGAGACGTTGCTTTATCGCCTTCGTGACATTGCGTTCCACTACCTGCGCTCCTGGTTTTTTCTTTGACGTGGCCATGCCCCTTGTGCAGCATGGGGAGCTGTGGTCCCGCAAGACATAAAGGTGGGACATGCTTTCACGCGGGGGCCGATGTTTTTCATGAGTGATGAAGAAAGTTAAGTTCATGTCAACTGTTTATTGTGCATTTGCTGGTTCTGCTTTTGTTTTGAGATCAAGAAGGGATCTTTTTTGCAATCAGTCCTTGTATTAGGACCCAAGATCCTGGCACTAAGCGCTATTAAGCGCTGGACCAAACAATAAAACAATAGGAGGTGGCTGTGGGTCCAAAGTTAGCAAGTTACACATATAATATATAAGGTTTTGACTCTCCCAACCGCATATCACATCACATAAGTCACATAATCAGCAGCCAGATGAACGAGTACTCCTCTTTTGTTAACCAAACACTTTGTGACTCCAATGGATGGAATGTTTACCTACATTGCCTGTTCAACCACTCCAATGGAAGTAGATAATTAATATACTTAGAGGGTCTGAAATATGTGTTATATATATATATATATTTCTTGCGACCACTGACCATTCACCACGGTGAGGTCCCGATTCCCAAAAAGAAGTGCTTCTGTACCCATGTCATCCATGTAAATGTAATTATAGTTACTGTCTACATCAATTCACCCCATCAACATATATCCAAATGACCCATCCCATGTCGGTAAGCATTCCATATATGGTCTGGGCGAGGTTGATTCCCGATCTCATCGTGGTCTTCCTCCCGAACTTCAACGACGGCCCTGCGAGCGTGGTTCGCATCGTGCGCTTCCGGCGGCTCGTGCGGCTCATCCGGTTCCTACAACTCATTCGACTGTGGAATGTGGTCCAAAGCGCCTGGACGGCTGTTTAGTAAGGAACAGAAAGGACTTCAGATGGATGGAACAGAAAGTGACAGGTGCTAGCGGCGGCGATGTTTTTTGGGGTCTGAAAAGATGGATGGATGGATGGATGGATGGGTCAGATCATTTGTGTTGGTTTTTCCTTTTCGCTGTTCTCCTGGATTGGTTTTGCACGGGACCCAAAATAGATGGACAGGTTTGGAGCGGCAAACAGGGCTGGCGATGATTCATGTGTTTGGAACCAGCTTTTTACCACACAACTGAAGTCCCTTGTGGATTCATTCTCTTGAGTTGAAGGGCTTTGCATTGGACAATGGCGTTTTGTTCATAACCTATTGGAGCGCTGGTCGTTGAGCCTACGACCAGGTGATATATCACATTTGCCTTGAATCTGTGGAAGTGCCCATGGAGGTGTTTGGATGGCCTCCAACCTACTGCCGATGGCCTCCAACCTAATAGGGATGGCCCAACCTACTAGCGATGGCCTCCAACCTAAGAGCTATTTGGGTATAGGGGTATCGGTGAGATGCACCTTGGTGCGGGGCTGCGCATCGAAAATCAGGCTACGCATCGCTCGAGTATCGAATGACCTTTCTGAAGACCAAGCCCCTTGGCACCATTTGTGAGGGGAGGGGTCGTTGGGTCTGAGCACGGCCAACTCCAGATCCAGAGGTGAAAGACATGCGGTGGCATACATTGATACTATATATGTCCTTAGTAGATTCCATCATTGTGATTTCCCTGAGATGAGAAACATCCATAACATGAATAGACGTGTCTTCCCGTACACATTAGGCAGTCTGGCATGAGTTGCGCAACTCTAGGAGAAGCGTTCTGGACGGCAAGTCTGACAGTCGTTTCCACGGCAGAGCCGAAGAAACCAAGAAGCGAAAAGGGCTTTGCTGGGAGCAGGTGTCTATTGCAAGATATTGTAAATTCCGAGTTCGGCCAATGTCCTCAAGGTCAGTCGTCATACCCACCCATGCCGTCGTCATAGCTGATTTTTACCAGCCCAGGGGCCCAGGGGCCTTGTTTCTTTTTTGGTTTTTGTAGGGTATAGTCTAATTAGCAAGAAAGATTGACCTTATATTAATAACTATTTGATCGATTGTGACGATAAGGACCAAAGTCCAGGTAGTCTGCAAACTCTGCAAAGCAGGCTCAAAGACTTTACTTGGATCCTTCTTTCTCTTGCATCCTCATTTGCCATCCTTTGCCCATCTCAGAGCCCAAGTCCGAACCTGCCACTGGCGCTTCTTTCCGCCACTTCTTTCCGCCACCCCAAAGCACCCGAAGACGGAGGGACCAGCCGTCGCTCGGAGAGAACGGCCGTGCCGGCGACGGACGTCTGCAAGGTTCGGATCCTTGATCCAACCGGTGCTGACGGTGACGGTCATCATTGGCTTGTCCGTCCATGTCCTCGGCAGCTTGTGGCTGCTGGGCGGAGATGTTCGGATGGATGGTCGAGGTCTTGCAGGGGTTGAACGAAGGAGGATTTTGCAGTAGGTTTTGCAGTCTCCGGAAGCTCATCCGCTTTGAATGTTCAGATTGTGGAGGACGTTTCATCTTTCATGGGCACAGTTTCCGATTTTGAGACATGGAGGTGGATTAGCAGACTATGGACATACCCTGACATACCCTCCCTCCAACAAACAGGGTGGTGGATTGACCATGGCCCCTTGGATGACCATGAATTAATCATATACTAACAGGTGGTGTCCACTTCGATGAATGTTTCAGGGAGGGTATAACATGATATGAAAGACAATGTTCATGTGCACGCATGGGAAGTTCACTCAGAAAAGCACTTGGAACATGGCAGACTGCTCTTTTCAGAACTCTGTCGTTATATTTGCCATCTATCAAGGGTGTATCAAGGCGTTGTGTAGAAGACCGTCACTCGTTTTGCTTGTCGTCGCTCTTCGCTCTTAGCGCTAGCGCTTACAGATATTTCGACACCATTTAGCCCAGTCGGATGGTCTATTGTTTCGACCCCCTTTTGCTCTTTTTCGGCCCATGTCCCATGTACTTGGAGGCCAAGGACACAGACACTTTCAGGCCATGTTTGGCTCTGAAAGGATGCATGTTTGGGAGACCCCAAAGCGTGAGCCCATAGTCCTCCGAGCTGATGGCGAAGAAGGGGCCATGAAGAACATGCCGATCTCACATGGTCATACCATGTCATACCTATAGATCTTCCATGATCTTCGAACTCTCCAAAATGTAGTTTGCGTTTGTCAATATGTTTAATCGTGCTAAATCTATAAAACCAGCCCAAGGGCAGAAATGTTTCATAGTTCCAGGATGTTCTAGGTATAAATAGGCATGTTAAGCACCTATTCAAGGATAAGATAAACCAGATCTGCCCATGTCTTAGACCTTGAAAAATCAGCCGACCATCCGGGCGGGACCAGATGCTAGGACGACTTTTGTTGACGTCCGAGTCGATGTCCAGCGGGCCTCAGGTATTACGTGGGCGATGTGGACGGTGGTTGGGTGCTCAAGGAAGGCTTGCATGAGGTGTCCATTGCACGGCAATATACGCGCAGCATGGAGTGCCTTTGGTCGCCAGAAAGGAGGTCAGCACTAGCACGGTCATTACTAGCAAGGTGCTAGTGCCAAAGCTCCAAGGTAGCTCCTGAGAAGATAATCAGTTAGACAGTGGGACCCTCCAAATTCACCCGAACACACACTGGCCACACTCATTGTGACCCAGGGTGTGGCCAAGGGAACTGATGAGCAAAGACCAGCAACAGGGCACCTTGTCATTCTCGGGGCACCTTGTCAAACCACCCGATCTCTCCGAGCTGGCTGCCAGGGGGGTTCTGATTGTAGGCCAACACACCCAGACAGGTGGCGATCTGCAACGAAGCAGCTTACGGGAGTTCTATAGGCCTTTTTTCGGCTGCACCCAACATCCCGAAGTCGGAACCGGCGCCCAGCGTTCCGGTCGCTACATCACGCGCTACCGAACACCGTCTTGCAGTGGATCCCCCCCACCGTCGCCCATGTATACCCAGACACGACTAATGGGACTGCCATAGGACTGCCGCCCCAGAAAGACCCCCCTGGCACCACCCCAACTGATTCACTCGATCATGACGCAACCCGTTGCTGTCGGTGGCTGCAACGGCCGTATACGTCCGACGTCCTGTTACCTGTTTTCGGTCAACGAGTATCACTATTTTAGAGAAAGCCCTGCAACTTAACGATCATCCACTGTCACTGCCAGGATAGTTACCTATATTGTCTATCACCCAGTTAGTCACCCAGTTATATAGACATAATCCAGGCAATAGATGGTATAAGCTGGTGACCAACTGCCAGCAGAATCTGCCTCTGCCAGCAGACACCGTCTCCGCGCCTCCGTCGCTTGCGTCTCCGTCTCCGTCACTCCGCTCGTTCCGTCGTCAGGTGGGCCTTATCGAAGCTTCCGCCCTCGGCGCTGCGAGTCAGTGTGGAGCTCCATACGCCTGCGGAGCGATGGCTGGGGATCTTCGGTACAGGCGCCGACCACGTCGGTCGAACGATCGTCGCCGATGGTTCGGACCGTTCGGTGCCGATGGTTCGTTCTGAACGCTTCGTGGGGTGCGATGTTTTGGGGAGGTGGTGGTTGGTTTCACGCGTTTTTCACCATGCAAGGCGGAGAACAGGACCTGGAGGTGAAGGTTCTTGGTTGTATTGCTACATGAACTAAACTGTAATCATTAATTAGCGCCTAACTCAGTGGCCTAACTCTATCACCTGCTCAGCATCTCACATCTGACCAACCCCAAAAACGTGTGTTGTGGCTGTTGTGGACAGGTGCCAAAAAGGTACTTGATAATGTCTTGTCCGGTTCGTTTTCCGGGAGATGGTTTTAGTGTTACGTTGGGCCATTGGGATCTTCCCAAGGAACCGAGGAGATAGTGCTCGATAGTAGTGCTCAATTGGACTGTGGGTTGGACTCCATGCATCAAAGCAAAAGTCGAGTGGAGAGAACGAAGACTGGCAGAAAGGTTGTGCTTTGCGAACGCACAAAAGCCAGCTATAGCGCCACTGGAAGTATGGCAGAACCTGGTGTTATTGCAAGAGGACATGGCACCTGAACATTAAGAACCAAAAAATGTATTCGTACCATAATGATCTCCAGAGCAGAGAATTCCAGCTCTTAGATATAATATATATAATATATATAGAGAGAGAGAGATCGCTCCGTATACGCACTCATACGGACTCCATAACGTCTTCAAGACGAAACCAAAGCCGTTTGGGTCACGCTTGTGAGGTATGGCCTTGCTTTGCGGCTCCATTTTTGTAAGCTTCTTGACCAATACTATGGCCGATGTGGCTCGCGAGAGGAGACGAAGTAGGGACGTGGGGGCGTGGAAGTGGTTTTTACATGAGGAAACTCGGTCTGTTTTCGAGTATCAGTATGGCAGAGAGAGGGAGAGAGATCCCAAATGTTCAGACTCAAATCCAAGATATTTTGGGAGTTGCATCAGATCTTCTTTTTGATCTACAGTAAATCTAAGTGTTGGCATCACAAAAGATCCCAAAAGAATTGTGTTTCTATGTTTTTCTCATTTGCAGGACTCGAACCACCAAGATCATGCAGTCCGTGCGGAAGTATTGCTCCATGCACGGCATCTCCTACCGACACACGATGCAGATGCGTCGCTACGTGGAACACGAGCACAGGCGGAAGGAGATGAACAGCCACATGCCCCTCCTGGAAGATTTGCCCGAAGGCCACGACACCGCAGGGGCCACGACACCGCAGCGATGGTGAGAGAGAGCAACCACCCGACAGCTCCGGTAATTCGACCACCTGGTACCCACCCGGAGAGCACCGAGCCGGGAGTGGAGGTAGTTGGATCTCAGCGGATGTGTTCTTCTCTGAATTCTGGTCCTTTAGCTGAGTAAAGCTTCAACTTGGGATAAAGACCCAATCAAAATGCTGGTCCTTTGCCATCATTGAGTAGGTCTTTTTTATGATCAACTCCACTAAAGCGAGGTCTTACACCTGTAGGGAAAGAATTTGGTTTCCTGTCCAGTGAGGTTGTGAAACGGGTAGGGAGTCTCTTGGAATCACTCCATTTGGAACTTCCAGATCAGTCACGTGCGGACAATTCTCGAATCCCTTCCATGACATGACAATCCGCCATGGTTCAATCCTAGATCAACTCCTACAGTACAGTAGTAATTAGATCTCCCGAAATAAGAAAAAGAGAACCTGCTTACTACTATACACTCGAAATCATCATCATGGTGGAAGCGGATGGCACCACCTAGGACTGGTCTTCGGAACGTGATCCAAGCACTTCCATGCTCCAGTCGGACCTTCTTAGAAGGTGGGACTGGGGTGGGTGCCAGGAGGGTCCAGTCATACCTTCTAAGGAGGTACGACTGGAGCCCTATAGGGTAAGTGAGTCTAGCTCATTATGACCAGTCCAAGCCGGTCCAAGCCTTGCTTGTCCTCTTGCTCATGGGCAGACAGTCCGATGGGAGCTTCCCGCTTCCGCTTCCAGGCATGGTCCGGGAGCTGTTCCAAGAGGGCCGCACGCAAACGTTGCACAACCACGCCTTCTTCATGGAAACCTGGAAGAATTCTGAGCAGACCCTGTTGTTTGTTGTTTGGAAAGCCGCATCCAGGTCTTTTCAGATAGCAACATACAGTGACCTTGAAATCTGTGTGCGCATACAGTATCTAGATGTACATCTATTACATGTTCATTGTTATATCAATTCAACACTTAAGAGTTCTCTGTTCACTGAAGTTGTATCAAGAACTTGACTTTCCCATGTTCACTAAGTTCATTTGCTGGGTTAGATGTTGTTGTTTGCTGTTTTGTTGTTTAATGGGTCTGATGGCCTAGCTGGTCAGAGGGCCTAGCGGCCGCATGCATGCTATCCGAACGAAGGAGATCGGCCTGGCGGATTCGGCCATGGAGCTGAATCTGTGCTCCTTGGGACGTCCAGGAGTTGGACCGTTTGGACGTTGGGAGGAAACCAATGCTGAACATGGTTGGGAAAAAAGAACAGCTCCAAGAACAGCTCAGTTGATGGAAGTTCATGGAAAAACCAGCTGAGAATCGGCATCAGAGGAATCATGGGCAAGTTTTGCCACCAGCAAACTTGATATGCAAACAGCATGTTTTCCTCTATATCACGCATGGGTGTTCCTTTTTGGGGATTCCTAGGTGTTTTGTTTGCAAATGGTTTGGGATTCCGATCATTTCACAAATCATGGAGTCCTGATTTAACATCGTTCAGGGCATCATAACTTCTTGATGGGATATTGATTTCTTGCTATATTGAAAAAGGTTTTTTTGAACAGCTTGATGCTTCTCAGAGGTTCACAGAGGTTCAGTTGTCATGGGAGACTTCCCAAAAAGTGTGTTAAAAAGGAAAGACAGAAAACATAGACATACACGCCCATCCAATATGATTGGTTCGGGTCTCCCTATCAAACATGCTTTACCAGTGTCCAGTGGCACAACCAAAAACTGCCAAAGGCCCTTCGGACAAGGTCGAAGCACCCAGAACAAACATCATGAACCCAATAGCTATAGTTGTTTGGAACTGATATCCCACTCCATGTGTTCAAATTGGATCAGAAAAATCCAGACACTCCATGTATGGCATATTTACATACATTGCGTTGGTTTTGGCGGGGTAAATGCAGGTAAATATGCCAGTCCCATGGAGTGTTTGGGTATAGCATATTACATTGAATTGATCCTTCTTCAAGCACAACGGTCCTAGTTGTTCTGTGGGACTGGAAGCTGGATCGAGACATGGTCGGACCCAAACTTCTGTCCAGGTAGCCATGCTGTCTCTGAGCTGTACCTCTTAGCAGGTGGGGCGGCCTGCTCGTGTGCGCCCATGCCATGGACGGTCTCAAAACGGAGGTGGAAGGGTGAAAAAATGGCACCCAAACAAGATGATTACAAGAATATCGTATCATGATGTATCATGAAGACTCTTGACCATATTTCAACCCCCAAATCCTGAAGAGGTTTTACCATCCATGTGTTGTGGGAAATTCATCAAAGAGTCTACATGATATGCTTGTGGGGGATTCACTGGTTCATTACTGGCTCGACCTTCTAAAGTGGGCATACGTTCTAAAGCTGCCACGCCAGGAGTTTTCATGCACCCCTTTGGATGTCAAGTTTGCTTCTTTCGTCCCTTCTTGTTGACACTGACATGCTTGTGATGTGTTGCAACTCTTTCATCCCCCGCTGAAGAGCACCCAAAAAGTTCCAATACGCCCTATTAGAAGCCGTCTTCCGGACGAGGACCAAAAAGTAGTCGCGAAAAAGTAGTCCGCGTAAGCGTAAGCATCCACGCTTCACCGCCGCGTCCACGTCATGTACGCAGTGATATTCCTTAGACGGATGTTCCAGAGCTGGCAACACGACTAATGGGACTGGCAGTCCTGAATCCATGCAATATGGGGTGGTGTACATGGGGGGTCAATGTAGGTAAATATGCCAGTCCCATGGAATGTTTGGGAGAGATGTTCTTTCGCTTCAAGTGCAAAGTGTCTTGTGCAGATGGCTGATGCATGCTGCTGTGGAGGTGACATCATCTTTGATACCACCAGCAAGACTGAAGGGATGTACCTCATCGGCGCGGGAAACAGCATCTACTTCTATTGGTCGGAATCCACGAAGATGAGCGCTCGCAGATCGAGGAGGACTGAGACTACAGGCAGATGTGGAAGATGGGCCGATGGGTGTGACTTTGAGTAGTTCGTGCCGGTTTTCATGGGGTTCCATGTTCATGGTTCATTCCACCGTTTTTCAATTGTACTTTCACAACTGAACAATCTGGTCATGAAGTTGCCGATGCATTTGCCGTGCCGGCATATTTGGTGGTAGTGCGTGTCCTAGGCATTCTCGAGAGAGAATTGCGAAGCTTTGGTTTTCATGCTATGACCAGAGCAATAATTAGCATATGCGGGATCGCTTTCACTTAATCCTATTTTGAGAGATGGGTTCAATGATCATCTCTACCATGCTTCCTCACCTGCAGTGGGAGGCAGCATCTTCCAAAGCATCATGACCCTGGGCACCAGCGGGCCCACCAACACCAATCAGCGGGACCGGAGCTCAACGATGCTAATGGCGCAAACCATGATTCAGGTGGGGCGGGAGCTGGATTCAATGCAACGAAGCGAGGAATGATGAAACGACCCAGGCAGCGTATGTTTTCAGCCGTTGGGCACTGTGGAAAATGGATATTATAATGGATCTATCCCATCTCCCATGCACCGTGGATTGATTGAGACTTTTAAAAATTCCTTTTCGAGCTACGGTGGAAAGTTCGATGCGGTTGCAGTTCGAGAACTGGAGAGCTGTATGTGATCCGTCCAAGTTCCAAGTCCAGCTGCTGGGAGCTCGCTCGCTCTGAACAGATCCAGAGGTTTTCGCCGGCACTCCAGTCGACCGCCACTCGCCGACCTTGTGGGGCGCTGTGGGCCTCTGTGGGCCTTGTGAATACGCTTTTTCGCTCGAAGAGGTCGCCGGCACGTCCATCCTCCATCCACCCGCCGCTCCTCGAAGGCGGGCGAGTATTGCGCCGAGCCGGCTTTATGGGTCAAGGCATGGCGTCATCAAGGACTGAGGCAGAAAACGGATGTGGTGTGAGCGGTGTGGTTGACTTCTGGTCTTTTTGGAACCTGCGCCGTTTTCCTGTGCCTCACATCAGCTCATTGTCGTGAGTCTACTGGGTCCTTCACCCCAGAGCATCTTTGACTCGCTTAAGGACACGGCAGAGTGGCTGTTTCATGGCGTTGGTTCCACATCCTAGACCATCCATGGGACTGGCATGTTTATCTACTTTGATGTACATCGACCCCAGGTCTACCACTCCAATGGTCCCCAATGTAAGTACCTGGACCCGACTTCAAGTACCTTAGAAAAAGACACAGGTACTTACTACGTACTTGTACCCATTGAATCCGAGGTACGAACGGGTCGACTCCGGCCTTCCTTCCTTCCGTCCGACGATCCGGCCTCGGTCCGACTCTGCGTGAAGCTTCTTCTTCCGCGGAAGAAAGGGACTGAACGAGTCGTTGTTGGTTGTTTCGGGGTTCGTTCCTTGTACCTCCGTTCTTTTCTGGGTGAGTGTCACATATGTGGGGTATATATGGGTATATTATAATGGTATATATATGAGACAACCATGGACGGACTCCGAAACCTCCAACTCTGCCACCCTCTCCGCCGTGGGAACACCACGGCCAAACGGACTTCGACCCTCCGCGGATGGACTGTCCACACTCTCCGTGGATGGCGGGGAGGTTGGATGACATCGCTGGTAGGTTGGAGGCCATCGCATTGATGTATGATTTTACTTGAACAAACACCCTGACCTAAGGGGTTTGGGTCCATGTGGCAGAGAGCGAATCCTTGTCCTGGGAGGTCTCATAGGTTCATCTTATAGGTGATAAAAGGTTCATGGTTCATCCAATCTGTCCATCGAAGCCGTGGAGTGAGTTCGCCCCAGGTCCCCCTGACCCCCCCCCCAGGGCAGCGTCCACCCCAGACCAGTCCTGGCACGAGGACAGCTTCAGTCGGTGGTCGAGAGCCGAGCCTTGTTGGTTTCAACTTGCGAGCTCTTCAAGGCCGTCGACGAATGAACGTGAAGAGCTGAACCTTTGTGATTTTCTTTGTTTTGTTTTTGATCAGCGGTATGTCCAATGATACTCCTTGAACCACAAAAAGACACCAAGAAATCATTGATAGGTATATATAGGTATGATTTATAACAACATATCATATAACAAATGTATATAATATATATACATATATCCCTAGAGCTCCAACCATATCCTCAGCTTCGGTGGGCATTATAGTATTCGTCTGTTCTTCTTGCCAGCTCGGAGAATTGGATTCGCCAGGTGTCGGATTGCATGTTATGGATTGGTCAGAGATGTGGGTGGATGTGTGTGTTACTTTTTTTGGGGAAACCTCAAAGCTCGACTTGGAAGGGAAGTAGACCAATCTACCCAGCCGGGGCCAGGTTGTCTCCCTATTCAAATACACACCCATCCAGTAAACATCGTAACATCATGACCTTCCGATTGTGAGTCATGAAGAGAGGGGCACCTTATTTCGGCCTCCAAGCTGCTTCCAGCGGCCTCGCAGGTGCTTGAACACTACGCCAACAGTTTGGCGAACACCATCGTTTATGCGCGGTGCTTCGTTGAAGAACTCAACAAGACCGCGGACTTGTGTAAGCAAGTCACAGATCTACCATTGATGCTTGGATTCACCATCGATCGACATATCGATCGACTGTTGATGAGAAGACCTCACAGACCTTTGGATATCGTTTCGGTTCTCCTCTTCAGGTTCTTTGGGCGACGGTAAAACCATCAACTGTCTTTACTCAGACGACTATATACCTAGAACCGTTCTGTGACCCCTGTTTTAGAGGATCAACATGGATCAACTATCCAAAATACGGCTTGTTCCTATCAAAAGTGAGGTCAAATGGGTTCTATTGGTACTATAGGTACTATATATATATATATATAAGCCCAGTGAAGTAAAGGCCATTTCAGAAATCCGGTCTCCTAGTCAGACCATTCGTTCAGCTTTGACTCATATACAAAAGTCCAGTGGTTTCAGAGGTTGGATGAATGCGATGACACACCAAGAGTTTCTGAAAAGATGAAGGTCCATCTTGGACTGCGCCAGGTACTAAAACAGGTACTGCTCATGACTGCCATGGTGGAGTCTTCACATCTAAATCACCAAACTGGATTGAGTTTCACTGTACCCAGCAGCTTCATGGACTTGGGTGCTATCCATGCAGGAGCTATGGCAGAAAGGCCCCGAAGTCACATGGGACTAGCCACAAGAAATCGCCAGAATCATCTGAAGGGCCGTTCGGCGTTCGGCGGCGGAACCTCGGCGTTCGGCCTTCGCATGTGTTAAGTCTACATGTATTTGACCAGCACCGAACACAAGGGATCACCCAAAAGAAAAGCCCCTACCACTGCTCCGAGAATCTCCGAGAATGCACCACCCCTTTGGACTCAGGTCCATACCATGCGTTTCTTCAACTCCATGTGACTCCTCAAATGAACTGCCCAGACACGTCCCGTCTCTCAGGACTCCCCTGGATGAGGAGCGGCGACGTCCGCACCGCGCGACCTCGGTGCGCAGCTTGTTCTCGCAGTCCAAGGTCTACCCCCGCGGGTGACAGCCGTTTTCCATCCATTCGCTCCGCGTGTCCGCGTGCCGCGGCTCGCGCTCGCGCTCACCGCGTACGGTGGGCCCGGGAAAACGAGCACCCGAAGATGATCAACATCCATGTGTAACCAGAAGGGTCATTGAGTCAACGTGTGAGGTTGCGGTGGATGCTTTCCTGGAAGCCTGAAGTCTCGACTTTGCGACCGGTGACAGGCGATTGGTGCGATGTTGGACTGCCAAGAGACCACAAAAACAACCAGATCTTGGACATCTCCCACCTTCTTCATAGGGAGGGCATAGGGTTTAGGGCATTGCTCGTGATGATTGGGTTGTCAGATCGCACTCCACAAAACGATAAGGCGACATGTGTGTTAGGGGGTTGAACGAATCGACCACCAGTTGATCTTCAGAAAGTACCCTTTTGGCAACTGAAGCTCACGTGTGAACAAGAACATGGGTCCCATTCCTTTGGATTGGTCAATGTGTTAATTGGCCAAGCTCCGCATTTTCACTATGAACTGATGAACGAACTTGATGACTTATGGGACATGCCCAGAACCTTCTGCGAAACGAAGAAGGTTCTTTGTGCGACAGATTCAGACCCGGGTGGGCGCAGGGAGTACAGATAGGTTGTTGTTCCAGTCCGAGGGGTCCTCCAAAACAAAATGATTTGCACAAGAAGTTCGACTGCGGAGGTTCAAAGATCGTTCATCACAAGCAACATGGTGATATGATGGAACCCTAAAATATCGTACCAGTGCCTTTTTCGGAGCAGATCACATTTCATTGCCAGTTCTGCACCACAGGTTGTGCATGCTTTAAACGAAGCAAAGTTCCATTGGCAAGTTTGGTCGATCTCTCTAGTGTGGGGCCGGTTGTTGAGCAGAGATCTCACAACAAAACGTGGACAATTCTAGCTTTGGGATGGACCGCGAGCCATTTGGAGAATTTGCGTTGGACCGCGAATTGGCATTGGACCTTGCTTGGAAGAGGTGATTTTTCATGAATCATCATGAATCATATTTGTTGATTCAGTGAGACCTGGAGATCGTTCTGGCATACTTGTTTTCCCCGAAGACGGCGGATCAGACCTGAAAATTCAGGGATGAGCGCCCAAACAACAGCGATCCTTGAGTTGCCAAGAAATAGACTGAGGGCCGGAGAAGATATTGCCAGAGGATCTTAAAGCTGCAACATGTTCGCAACAGCTAACATCAATGAACTTCCTTTATACATGCAGATCTTTTGGCAAAAAATGGGATGTCCTTGCCTCTCGCTTGGAGAGTGCAAATTTAAAACTATCCGGATTTGGATTGGTTTTGTTCCTTTCTACCTGGCCATAGTAACCAAAGGTTCTGGCTAAAGGTACCTCATCATAAAAAAATACATAATATATAAACGTAAAGGATCAATGTTCAACACTAATTGTTTGTTATTAATATATAATAAATGAATAGATATATAGTATATTAAAAGGAATAATATTGGATATATTTATTTTAAAGGTTATTTGAATTTTAATTATCTATGTTTGAAAATTTATGTTTCTTGATAATTATATATTTATGAAAATTAATCTTTATATAAGGGGTTAATTGATTTGTATTTATATTATTTGATTGATAAAGTGTAATAATATAATTTTTTATTGTAAGGGCTTCGTCCGGGTGCCGCCGACCCCCTTTTTTAAGAGGAATATAGCAGGTGTAGATAGTTGCAGTGAGCATTCCACGTTTTAACCGCGAAGCTGGAAAATAGGATAGAATTCCGCCTACGCGTAACGCAATAGATTAATTTAATTGTTTTTATATATAGACTCTGTAGTTAGAAAACTTGGCTTAGGTTTTTGTAATGAGGCATGTATTGTGTAGGGAAAAACGCCTCTGGAAAAAAAAACCAGATGCAGACGGCGCAAGCTATCCTAGGCAAAAATCGTGACAAGGAATGGGAAAATACTACTCGGGGTTGGTTTGGCGCAATGGGAAAATATTACTCGGGGATTGGTTTGGCGCCATCTACTTTTATAATCCGTTTCGTGAAAGAACACTATAAAATTTTTGGCCCTGAAAGCAGTAAGTTGCGCCATCTACTTGGCAGTATCTATAGGTTTAACTATCCTAATTATGTTTCACACAAGTGTTGTGCTATTTACGGGGCTATTATCGTGCAGCGTTCTGTTATTGTTTTAAGTGCAAGTGTAAGGAAAGGGAAAGGTGAAGGGAAAGGCAAGGGAAGGATAGAGAAAGGCGAAGTGAATGAAGGAAAGAAGAGAAAGGTATTTAAGGAAAGGAAAAGGAGACATTAAGGAATGGATAGCAAAGGAGAAAGGAGAGAGAAAGAGAGAAATAGAATATGAAAGAAGGAGAGAGAAAGACAATTCAAAGAGAAGAACATGAAAAACAATTGGAATTTAACAGAGAGGTTGTCTATAAAAATTAACGATTTATATTAGTGTTCTTTGTAGAAGATGGCGTAAGTCTACTCTGTGAATGGGTGGAATGCTATCTATTATGTTTGAGGATGCATAGGTATATATCTTGTTTTCCACGGTTTGTCGCGTGCGCTTTTGGCACTTTCTGGTGCTATCGATTCGTTTCCGGATATAGTTATTTAGTCTGAACAAGGTGTATATGTATTAGTGAAGTAATTATGCACCTATTTCTATATACCTATATAAGGCTTAGGAGACCTTATTCTGACGCATGATGACGTATGTGGGCGTGTATGCGTTAGACCGTTCCCTTTTTGTGGTAGCCTTTTGGCACAAGTAGCCCTCGTCAAACCTACACATGATATTATCACCAAGACATTCATAAGCAATTTAACGTTCCTGGTGAGTGCGTGTTCCTGCCATGTTGCCTGGATGACGGCTTACACGAAGCAGCCGCCCGGAAGATCCTGACCTGTTGGGGGTGGGTTTGGGAGGTTGTCTGAACTGGCCGGGAGGAGCTCTGAGAGTGTGAGTGAAGGCCCAATGTCATCCGGTTGGTGGAGTGAGCTTGAAGCTGTTCTGAAGGTG